CCCCGGGGCGCCCAGCGCGCGGCCGCAGCCAAGAAGGCGGCACACGACGCGGGCGTTCCTGATGTTCCAGTGGTCGTCGCACACCGTACCCCACACGCCGTGGTGCCGCACCTCCACCCGGCCCTCGCAGCGGCTCCGCCCGCCTGCCAGGCGCAGGGGCAGGTCTGCAGGGACAAGAGGAACGTCAGGTGGGCATCTCAGGTGTCACTTACTATTCGCAATTGGAGAAACAACGCAGCGTTCCATTTCTGGTGTTACTGATTTTTAACTATTTCTCCCATAAAGTCAAGTCTAAGTTACCCCAAGCCCCTGGGAATGGCCATCATAGGCAAGCAAGACACCTGAGAAGTAATCTTTAAACGACAATAACACCCAGCCATAAAGTCAAAACAAAGTAAACCGAACAGGCAAAAATCAAACAGCCTCTCCTTCCAGGCTTTGGAAGATAACTGTTCTAAAATGAGGCACTGTGTGACTCATCACACAGAATCTCTTCAACTCTTGATGAATAAGAGCCAATATTTTAATTACAAAAGCTGTATAATATAACTTAGCTATTCTGCTCCTGGGTATTTAATCAAGAGAGATGAAAACACATGTTCACAGAGAGATGTATACAATAAAGGAATTTTCCCCAATAGCCAAAAGACAGGAAACAACTCAAGTGCCCTAAGCTGTAGAAGAATACATAAATTATGGCATATACATACAACAGAATATTACTAAGCAATAAAAAAGAAACAAATTACCAGTACGTGGAACCACACTAATGAGCCATGAAAACAATTTAAGTAAAAGAAGTCAAATGCAAAGACCACATATTGTTTGATTTTACTTATATGAGAGTCTACAAAAACAAATGTAGTCTATAGTGACAGAAAGCAGACCAGATTGCCTGGGAGAGGTGGGAGAGGTTTACTGCAAAGAAGCATGCAGGAGCCTTCTGCGGTGATGGGAATTCTCTGTGGTTGTGATTGTGGTTGTGGTTACACAGTTGCATACATTAGACAAAACTTAGAGATCATGTGCACTTCTAGTGTATCTACATTATACTTCAAACATGAAAATCTGTATTATGTTGGTGGTATCACATGTACAAATGTGTAAAATGATTTTTCTTCATATTAATTGGTCTGTGGGGACTGTCCCTTTCAATTTCCTGATCTGTTCAGCACTTAGAAGATGCTTAGTGGATGCTAAACCCTCTGGCTTCAGTCTCTGTGACTGCAGCGTACTGGTCTGGGATGGGTGCTCTTCTTGTCTAATTTGCTGCTATAATATTAGGAGCAACATAACCATGATTTTTTCAACTATCCATAAGGCTAAACACTTTCTGAGTCAAGTCCTGGGAGGTGAATTTTGGACTTCCAACCCACAAAGATGTGTGTGGATACAGACACACAGTGTCTGCACTGCTCATAAGATTTTTCTGTGAAGAGTAGGAAAGTAGAGGCTTGCCTTATAGCTTAGTGGTTAAGAGAGCTGGATCACCCATTCTAATTGGTTCCAGTTCTTTTTTTTTTTTTGGGGGGGGGGAGATTTTCGCTATAGGGCGTGTGCGCTCGCCAGACAGAGAGAGACATAGAGACAGAAAGCGAGAAATCACTCCCCAGGGGGGATGGTCACGTCGCAATCCCTTCTCCTCCATTCTCCTCTTGGGATCTTGGGCACGCACGCACACGTGCCCGTTGTGAGTTTTAAGCCACTGGGTCCGAACCACGTCAACTACGTGGGAGTCCAGCGACATAGCCATTACGCTAACTGCTGGTTCCCAAATGGTTCCAGTACTATCCCTGCTGGCTTGAAAAGGATGCTGGGTGCATGTACACGCACACCTCAAATTCTGACAAGATGAAAAATAGAGGAGAAGGCATTGCAGCATGGTGATTTCTTGCTTTCTGTCTCTCTGGCAAGTGTACGCACCCTATAGCAAAAATCTCTCTAAAAAAAAAAAGAAAGAAAGAAAGAAAGGAAGGAAGAAAGGAAGAAAGAAGAAAATACTGTTCATTAAGCTTTTTTTTTGGCATCAAAATGTAACAAGTGGCATTCTCTTTATTCTCTAGATATACAATAATTTATTAAATGATCAGAAAAAATTCTTTATAAATATAGTGAATTTTTAAAAGGAAGAATAAAAAACATTAGATTTTGTAGGAAACATTTTTATAGAGTCTGAAAAAATGAAGCAAAAAAATCAAGTTAGATTCCTTAGGCATGCTTTTAGGTAAGAGAAAGCTCTTTTCTGAGATATAATTCCTCATTCAAACATACAGAGAATAGCCTGGTAAGAAAATTAACGTGAATGTTCCACTAGAAAATGGTAGTATAATTATAAAGCTAAGTTATAAAGCTAATTATAAAGCTTATTGAATAACAGGCATATGACCATTACCTGGCGATGGTGGCACTCTTGTTAAAACTGAATCTGTGGCTGACAAAAAAGAAAAAATATTATAGTGAAAAGAAAGTGTTAAAATTTGATTTCATTGAATTTTTATACCATAGTGTGCACATTTATGAAAATAAGCCTGTAAGATGCCAACAGGTGGTGTAGTGACTAAGGTGTTAGATTCTCAGGTGGCCGAACATGTTTTGAAGCCCAGACCCACTGGCTTGAAACATATACCAGCTGCATGTGCATGCATGCCCAAAATCGTGAGAGGAAAATGGAGAAGGGATTACGGCGTGGCCAATATCTCATGTTCCCTGTCTTTGTCTCTCTCTGGTGAGTGCGCATGCTCTACGGCAAAAATCTAAAAAGGAAAGAAGCCTGTTGGATAAGTGGCATGCAATAGAAATCCACTCTGCCAATTTACCTTGTGGAGTTACACAGTCAGGCATGAAATGATATATGAAAATTTGGATTTTGCAAAGTAGATCAACAGTTCTCATTTTGAGCATCTACAATGGGCCAGATAATCTACATCTCTAATGCTTATAAAAACTATGCCAGGGAAGTATTACCGTAATTTTAGAGATGAGGAAATAGGGACTCAGAGGGATTGTGTAATATGCCCAGGTCATCCACAGTTCAAACTGGTGAGGCCCCAAAGCACATATGCTTTCTAAATACTGTGCCCTTCATGCGCATCTGATGTGGTTGTTGCATCCATCCTGACATGAATAAGGAATGAAGGGAAGGGCGGGAGGGTTTAATGGCCACATCGCCCATCTCCACACTTCACGAAGAACTTCCTGTAGAAAATGGTAGTGATTTTGGTTGTCATGCTTTCACAAAGGAAGTGAGTGGGAGGGCCACCTAACCTGTGTAAAATACAACCCATTCGCTCATGTGATCATGGCCAGAGAGGATTAAAGGCAAAGAATCTTCTGACGAAAGCAGCAGCATGGTGGCAGCAGCATGGTGCAGGTAGGGAAGGAAGGGAGGAAGAAAAACCATACTCTAATATAAGGGAAAAGAAGTATTAAACTAGGTTTTATTGAGTTTTATCCACATATGTCTTTAAAGTTAAAAAGGCCTTGAAAAAAATGAATACAATGGAAGTGCCAGATCCTTGCATGAAGGTATTAATACCACAGGAGTTTGGGGCAATCACACAGATGAATTCATCAATAAATCCTGAGTACAGAAAGGGCCATAGATGGGAGCTGGGAATCTGGCTCTCCCTTGCCCTAGCTCTGTGACGTTAGGTAAACCTCAACCTTTGCTAGGTCTCATTTTCCTTCAAAACGAACGTGGTGAGTCAGTGCCTTCATCCTCTATATGGTCCATGACCTGCAGCACTAGCATCACCTGGGAGTCTGTGAGAAATGCAGAATGGAGGCTCTACCCAGAGTCACTGAATTTGTACTTTAACAAGCTCTCCAGGAGGGTCAGATGCAGATCAATTTGAGAACCATTGGCCTAGAGACTATCCCAATGCCATAGAGCATTTGTCATTGAGGCTATTTTATCCTATTGATCTCATTCCCAGGATCCACCTTAGGATTGGGGAAGGGACCCAGAGTCCTCTGGGGTGTTGACTAGCCTCCCTCACCTCTCCTTTCTTCTCTCCTGATCTTGCCTGGGGAACCAGAAAGTTTCCCCTCTGGGTGTGTAAAGCCTTGCTGAGCTGCTGATTCTCAGAAAGTCACTTATCAGGGCTTCTGCAAAGAACTTAGAACGCACCTGGGGAAGAAAGTGTTTCATCTGAAATGGGAGTTGTATCTGCAAATAAAGAAGATGGTTTGGGTTTGACCAACAGTATGGTTGAAAACAAATCAGAAAATGGGTAGCATTAACACCAGCAGCACCCAGTCCTCTTGTGTGTGCATTGGGTGTGCTGGTTGGGATGAAGCATGGCCATATATAGCCATGGATAGCCACATATAGCCAAGCAGGTGAGGTGTGGACCCCTAGCCCTGGCCTCTCTTGGTGCATCTGATCAAGACCTGTGCAAGAAGCAGACATTTCCCAGCAGAGGGGCCACTGCTGTGTCCATGGATGAATGAAGAAAACTTGAAGTACAACTTATATGAAAAGGATGCCGAGATTTCTGTTTAAACTCGGATTTATACTATGAAAAAAATTTCAAAACATATGTTCATTTGCTATATAGTAAGAGGAAAAGAAATATAAGAGTGAGAAAAAATTATCTGTGGGAGAGTCTACTTCTGAGATCGAAGATGAGTCTGTTTGTAAACAAAGAGAAAGTAAACAAAGTTTACTTTGTGTCAGAATAATTATGAAGTCAGTTCATCTTCTAAATAGAACATGACAAAAAATAATCTAGTCTCATTTATTAAAATGGCACAATGAGAGAGACCTTACCAGTTGGAGACATCACTTCTGCTGAGGCTGAAGAGAGATCTATAGATAAAAGGATGAAGAGACTTAGATACTAGTGGAGTGAAGTCATGGGCTTCTGTTTTTTTCTGAGTCTATTTTGGGAACAAATTTTTCCTGATACTCCCCAGTGTGATTAGTAGAATTCCAAGAAGAGGCACTTAGTGGGACAGCAGAGTGTTCTACCTGGTAAGGAGGTCACAGTGGTTGAGACCGTAGCTGCAGATGAATGAAAATGACAAGGCAGCAATAAGAGTCATATTAGGCACCATGCTTCCAGAAGATACAGAAGACATCAGGTAGCATCATAGTCTGGCGTGACTAGCCAGGCTTGTCTCTCTGCTCTCCAGACAGGAGCTGTGGCAGAGCATATCCAGATCCAGTGCCTGCAAGCCACCCCTCCATTCCTTGGGTCCCCATTCCTCTTGCTCAGCCTTTACTTCTTACCACAGAGGTGAAGATGACTTGTGTGGTGGGGGGGCCGCCAGCCACTGGCCAAGCTTCTCAACTCTTTGAAAGCTAATCTAACAAAGATTCTTCAGGTGAGGACTTGCTTGCCCTGCCCTCCTTCTTGAGGCTATTTTGTCCTATTGCTCTTGTTCCCAGCACCCACCTTCAGTGTGTTAGGTTTAGTTGTATAATCAGTATTGGGGAAGGGGCCCGAAGTCCTCTTGGGTATTTACTAGCCTCCCTCACCTCTCCTTTCTTTTCCCCTCATTTTGCCTGGGGAATCAGAAAGTTTCCCTTCTGAGCATGTAAACACTTGCTGGGCTATCTCAAAAAGCCACTTACCAAGGCTGCTGCAAGGAAATTAGAACGCACCTGGTGGAGAAAGTGCTTCATCTGAAGTAGGAGCTATATCTGCAAATGAAGAAGGTTTTTGTTTGACCAACAGTGTGGTTGAAAGCAGATCAGAAAATGGGTAGCACTGACACCATCCACACCGAGTCCTCTCCTGTGTGTATTTGTGTGTGCTGGCTGGGATGAAGAATGGCCTGAATCAGCACATACAGCCAATCAGGTGAGGCGTGGACCCCTAGCCCTGGCCTCCCTTGGTGCATCTGATCAAGTCCAGTGCAAAAAGCAGGCATTTCCCAGCAGAGGGGCCATTGCTGTGTCTACGGAAGAATGAGGAGAACCTGAAGCTCAGCTTCTGTGAAATGAATGCAGAATGCAGGCTCCATCCAGAGCCACTGAATGTGTACTTCATGGGATTTCTGTTTAAACTGGGGCCTACGGTGTAGACAAAATATTCAAAATGTATGTTCATTTGCCATTTAAAAGAGGAAAAGTTGATTATATCTTGCTTAATAAATGTAATAGTGAGAAAATATTACCTGTGGGTGAGACTTCTTCTGAGGATGAAGATGAGTCTGTGTGTGAAAAAAGAGAATGGGACACTTAAAAATGAATGAAAGGTTGCTGGACATGTCTTTTAAGTTTACTTTGTGATCGAAATAATCATTAAGTCGGTTCATCTTCTAAATAGAACATGACAAAAAATAACCTAGTCTCATTAATTTTAATAACCCAGTGAGTGAGACCTTACCCATTGGAGACATCACTTCTGCTGAGGCTGAAGAGAGATCTATAGATAAAAGCATGAAGAGACTTAAATACTAGTGGAGGGGAGTCATAGGGTTCTTTTTTTTCTGAGGCTCTTGTTGGGGACACAATTTTCATGATATAGCCAAGTCTGATTAGTAGAATTCCAAGAAGAGGCACTTAGTGGGATGCTTCATCTGAAGTAGGAGCTATATCTGCAAATGAAGAAGGTTTTTGTTTGACCAACAGTGTGGTTGAAAGCAGATCAGAAAATGGGTAGCACTGACACCATCCACACCGAGTCCTCTCCTGTGTGTATTTGTGTGTGCTGGCTGGGATGAAGAATGGCCTGAAAGAGCACATACAGCCAATCAGGTGAGGCGTGGACCCCTAGCCCTGGCCTCCCTTGGTGCCTCTGATCAAGTCCAGTGCAAAAAGCAGGCATTTCCCAGCAGAGGGGCCATTGCTGTGTCTACGGAAGAATGAGGAGAACCTGAAGCTCAGCTTCTGTGAAATGAATGCAGAATGCAGGCTCCATCCAGAGCCACTGAATGTGTACTTCATGGGATTTCTGTTTAAACTGGGGCCTACGGTGTAGACAAAATATTCAAAACGTATGTTCATTTGCCATTTAAAAGAGGAAAAGTTGATTATATCTTGCTTAATAAATGTAATAGTGAGAAAATATTACCTGTGGGTGAGACTTCTTCTGAGGATGAAGATGAGTCTGTGTGTGAAAAAAGAGAATGGGACACTTAAAAATGAGTGGAAGGATGCTGGACATGTCTTTTCATTTAAGTTTACCTCATGGTTGAAATAATTACTAAGTCGGTTCCTATTCTAAATAGAACGTTTCAAAAAACAATCTAGTCTCATGAATTTAAATATCCCAATGAGAGACACCTTACCAGTTGGAGCCATCACTTCTGCTGAGGCTGAAGAGAGATCTATAGATAAAAGGATGAAGAGACTTAGATACTAGTGGAGTGAAGTCATGGGCTTCTGTTTTTTTCTGAGTCTATTTTGGGAACAAATTTTTCCTGATACTCCCCAGTGTGATTAGTAGAATTCCAAGAAGAGGCACTTAGTGGGACAGCAGAGTGTTCTACCTGGTAAGGAGGTCACAGTGGTTGAGACCGTAGCTGCAGATGAATGAAAATGACAAGGCAGCAATAAGAGTCATATTAGGCACCATGCTTCCAGAAGATACAGAAGACATCAGGTAGCATCATAGTCTGGCGTGACTAGCCAGGCTTGTCTCTCTGCTCTCCAGACAGGAGCTGTGGCAGAGCATATCCAGATCCAGTGCCTGCAAGCCACCCCTCCATTCCTTGGGTCCCCATTCCTCTTGCTCAGCCTTTACTTCTTACCACAGAGGTGAAGATGACCTGTTTGGAGGGCAGCAGCCACTGGCCAAGCTTCTCAACTCTTTGAAAGCTAATCTAACAAAGATTCTTCAGGTGAGGACTTGCTTGCCCTGCCCTCCTTCTTGAGGCTATTTTGTCCTATTGCTCTTGTTCCCAGCACCCACCTTCAGTGTGTTAGGTTTAGTTGTATAATCAGTATTGGGGAAGGGGCCCGAAGTCCTCTTGGGTATTTACTAGCCTCCCTCACCTCTCCTTTCTTTTCCCCTCATTTTGCCTGGGGAATCAGAAAGTTTCCCTTCTGAGCATGTAAACACTTGCTGGGCTATCTCAAAAAGCCACTTACCAAGGCTGCTGCAAGGAAATTAGAACGCACCTGGTGGAGAAAGTGCTTCATCTGAAGTAGGAGCTATATCTGCAAATGAAGAAGGTTTTTGTTTGACCAACAGTGTGGTTGAAAGCAGATCAGAAAATGGGTAGCACTGACACCATCCACACCGAGTCCTCTCCTGTGTGTATTTGTGTGTGCTGGCTGGGATGAAGAATGGCCTGAATCAGCACATACAGCCAATCAGGTGAGGCGTGGACCCCTAGCTTTGGCCTCCCTTGGTGCATCTGATTAAGTCCAGTTCACAAAGCAGGCATTTCCCAGCAGAGGGGCCATTGCTGTGTCTACGGAAGAATGAGGAGAACCTGAAGCTCAGCTTCTGTGAAATGAATGCAGAATGCAGGCTCCATCCAGAGCCACTGAATGTGTACTTCATGGGATTTCTGTTTAAACTGGGGCCTACGGTGTAGACAAAATATTCAAAACGTATGTTCATTTGCCATTTAAAAGAGGAAAAGTTGATTATATCTTGCTTAATAAATGTAATAGTGAGAAAATATTACCTGTGGGTGAGACTTCTTCTGAGGATGAAGATGAGTCTGTGTGTGAAAAAAGAGAATGGGACACTTAAAAATGAATGAAAGGTTGCTGGACATGTCTTTTAAGTTTACTTTGTGATCGAAATAATCATTAAGTCGGTTCATCTTCTAAATAGAACATGACAAAAAATAACCTAGTCTCATTAATTTTAATAACCCAGTGAGTGAGACCTTACCCATTGGAGACATCACTTCTGCTGAGGCTGAAGAGAGATCTATAGATAAAAGCATGAAGAGACTTAAATACTAGTGGAGGGGAGTCATAGGGTTCTTTTTTTTCTGAGGCTCTTGTTGGGGACACAATTTTCATGATATAGCCAAGTCTGATTAGTAGAATTCCAAGAAGAGGCACTTAGTGGGATAGCAGAGTGTTCTACCTGGTAAGGAGGTCATAGCAGTTGAGACTGTAGCTGCAGATGAATGAAAATGACAAGGCAGCAATAAGAGTCATATTAGGCACCATGCTTCCAGAAGATACAGGAGACATTCAGTTACTGTCATGACCAGTGTGATTGGCCATGACTATTTCCCTGCTTTCCGGACAGGAACTATGGCAGAGTAAGTCCAGATCCACTTCCTCCAAGTCAAACCTCCACTCCTTGGGTCCCCATTCCTTTTGCTCACCCTTTACTTCTTACCATAGAGGTGAAGATGACCTGTTTGAAGGGCAACAGCCATTGGCCAAGCTTCTCAACTCTTTGGGGCTAATCTAATAAAGATTCTTCAGATGAGGACTTGCTTTCCCTGCCCCTCTTCTCAAGGCTAGTTTGATCTTGTTCCCAGCATCCATCTTCAGAGTGTTTAGTTGCATAACCAGTATTGGGGAAGGGACCCAGAGTCCTCTGGGGTGTTGCCTAGCCTCCAGCACCTCTCTTTTCTTTTCTCCTGACCTTTCCTGGGGAACCAGAAAGTGTTTCTTCTGGGTGTGTAAATACTTCCTGGGCTGGTGGTTCTCGAAAAGTCACTTACCAGGGCATCTGCAAGAACTTAGAACGCACCTGGTGAAGAAAGTGCTTCATCTGAAGTAGGAGCTATATCTGCAAATGAAGAAGGTTTTGGTTTGACCAACAGTGTGATTGAAAGCAGATCAGAAAATGGGTAGCACTGACACCATCCACACCCAGTCCTCTCCTGTGTGTATTTGTGTGTGCTGGCTGGGATGAAGAATGGCCTGAAAGAGCACATACAGCCAATCAGGTGAGGCGTGGACCCCTAGCCCTGGCCTCCCTTGGTGCCTCTGATCAAGTCCAGTGCAAAAAGCAGGCATTTCCCAGCAGAGGGGCCATTGCTGTGTCTACGGAAGAATGAGGAGAACCTGAAGCTCAGCTTCTGTGAAATGAATGCAGAATGCAGGCTCCATCCAGAGCCACTGAATGTGTACTTCATGGGATTTCTGTTTAAACTGGGGCCTACGCTGTAGACAAAATATTCAAAACGTATGTTCATTTGCCATTAAAAAGAGGAAAAGTTGATTATATCTTGCTTAATAAATGTAATAGTGAGAAAATATTACCTGTGGGTGAGACTTCTTCTGAGGATGAAGATGAGTCTGTGTGTGAAAAAAGAGAATGGGACACTTAAAAATGAGTGGAAGGATGCTGGACATGTCTTTTCATTTAAGTTTACCTCATGGTTGAAATAATTACTAAGTCGGTTCCTATTCTAAATAGAACGTTTCAAAAAACAATCTAGTCTCATGAATTTAAATATCCCAATGAGAGACACCTTACCAGTTGGAGACATCACTTCTGCTGAGGCTGAAGAGAGATCTATAGATAAAAGGATGAAGAGACTTAGATACTAGTGGAGGGAAGTCATGGACTTCTGTTTTTTTCTGAGTCTATTTTGGGAACAAATTTTTCCTGATATTCCCCAGTGTGATTAGTAGAATTCCAAGAAGAGGCACTTAGTGGGACAGCAGAGTGTTCTACCTGGTACGGAGGTCACAGCGGTTGAGACCGTAGCTGCAGATGAATGAAAATGACAAGGCAGCAATAAGAGTCATATTAGGCACCATGCTTCCAGAAGATACAGGAGACATCAGGTAGCATCATAGTCTAGCATGACTAGCCAGGCTTATCTCCTTGCTCTCCAGACTGGAGGTATGGCAGGGCAAGTCCAGATCCACTGCCTCCAAGCAACCCCTTCACTCCTTAGGACACCCTTCTTCTTGCTCACCCTTTACTTCTTACCACAGAGGTGAAGATGCCCTGTTTGGAGGGCAACAGCTACTGGCCAAGCTTCTCAACTCTGGGGCGAATCTAATAAGATTCTTCAGGTGAGGGCTTGCTTTCCCTGCCCTCCTTCTCAAGGCTAGTTTGTCTTATTGATCTTGTTCCCAGCATCCTCCTTCAGTGTGCTTAGTTGCATAACCAGTGTTGGGAAAGGGACCCAGAGTCCTCTGGGTGTTGACTAGCCTCCCTCACCTCTCTTTTTTTTTTCTCCCGACCTTGCCTGGGAACCAGAAAGTGTCTCTTCTGGTTGAGTAAACTCTTGCTGGGCTGGTGATTCTTAACATCACTTACCAGGGCGGTTACAAGGAACTTAGAATGTACCTGGTGAAGAAAGTGCTTCATCTGAAGTGGGAGCTATATCTGCAAATGAAGAAGGTTTTGGTCTGACCAACAGTGTGATTAAAAACAGATCAGAAAATGGGTAGCACTGACACCATCCGCACCCAGCCCTCCCCTGTGTGTATTTGTGTGTGCTGGCTGGGATGAAGCATGGCCTGAAACAGCACATACAGCCAATCAGGTGAGGTGTGGACCCCTAGGCCTGGCCTCCCTAGGTGAATCTGATTAAGACCAGTTCCCAAAGCAGGCATTTCCCAGTAGAGGGGCCATTGCTGTGTCTATGGATGAATGAAGAGAACCTGAAGCTCAGCTTCAGTGAAAGAAATGCAGAAAGCAGGTTCCACCTAGAGTCAGTGAATGTGTGCTTTGGTGGGATTTCTGTTTAAACTGGGGCTTTGGTTGTAGCCAAAATATTCAAAACGTATGTTCATTTGCCATTAAAACGAGGAGAAGTTGATCATATTTTGCTTAATAAATGTAATAGTGAAAAAATATTACCTGTGGGAGAGGCTTCTTCTGAAGATGAAGATGAGTCTGTTTGTAAACAAAGATTACGGGACACTTCAAAATGAATGGAAGGATGCTGGTCATGTCTTTTTTATTTAAGTTTAATTTGTGGTCAAAATAATTATTAAGTCGGTTCATCTTCCAAATAGAACATGTCAAATAAGAATCTAGTCTCATTAATTTAAATAGCCCAATGAGAGAGACCTTACCAGTTGGAGACATCACTTCTGCTGAAGCTGAAGAGAGATCTATAGATAAAAGCATGAAGAGACTTAAATTCTATCAGAGGGGAATCAAAGAGTTCTGTTTTTTTTTTTTTCTGAGAATTTTGTTGGGGACAAAATGTTCATGATTGCCTAGTGTGATTAGTAGAATTCGAAAAAGAGGCACTTAGTGGGACAGCAGAGTGTTCTACCTGGTACGGAGGTCACAATAGTTGAGACTGTAGCTGCAGATGAATGAAAATGACAAGGCAGCAATAAGAGTCATATCAGGCATCATGCTTCCAGAAGATACAGGAGACATTTGGGTAGCATCACAGACCAGCGTGACTAGCTAGGCTTGACTCCCTGCTTTCCAGACAGGAGTAATGGCAGGGCTTATCCAGATCCAGTGCCTCCAAGCCACCCCTCCATTCCTTGGGTCCCCATTCCTCTTTCTCACTCTTTTACCATAGAGGTGAAGATGACTTGTTTGGAGGGCAACAGCCACTGGCCAAGCTTCTCATGTCTTTGGGGACTAATCTAGCAAAGATTCTTCCTATGTGAACTTGCTTTCCCTGCCTTCCTTCTCTAGGCTAGTTTGTCCTATTGGTCTTGTTCTCAGCATCCAGCTTCGGTGTGTTTAGTTGCAAACCAGTGTTGGGGAAGAGACCTGGAGTCCTCTGGGTTATTGACTAGCTTTCCAGACATCTCCTTTCCTCTCTCCTGACCTTGCCTGGGGAACTAGAAAGTGTCCCTTCTGGGTGTATAAACCCTGTTGGGTGGCTGTTCTCAAAAAGTCACTTACCAAGGCTGCTGCTAGAAACTTGGAACGCACCTGGTGAAGGAAGTGCTTCATCTGAAGTGGGAGCTATATCTGCAAATGAAGAAGGTTTTGGTTTGACCAACAGTTTGACTGAGAACTGATCAGAAAATGGGCAAGCACTAACACTATCAGAACTCAATTCCCCTTTGTGTGCATCTGGGTGTGCTAGCTGGGATGTAGTATGGTCTGAAAAACACGTACAGCCAAACATATTGAGATCTTCTTTCATATTGGTGTGAGATAGGGACCCAAGAATAGAGCTTCCCTGCAGACTAGAACTAGATAGGTTGTCCCAAGATGTAGCTATGATGGGAAGGAAAGGCAGTCCATTTGTTTTGTAGTAAGTGTTGCCTCTCAACCTAAATTTGTCAGTAAAAAAGGCTTTATTTTGGCGCTAACTGAAGTTTTATTTTTCAGTGACTTAAGCACCTAAAACAGAGACGAGTACATTTTTATTGTCCCCTGCTCCCTAAAGAAATCCTCCATGCTCTATTTGTAATTTTTTTTTTTTTGGTGGGGGGAGGTTTATTTTTGCTATAGGGTGCATGTGCTCACCAGAGAGACAGAGAAAGACAGAGAGAGAGAAAGTGAGAAATCACCCCAGGCATGATGGCCACACCACAATCCCTTCTCCTCCATTCTCTCGGAATCTTGAGCATGCACACACACGTGCCCAGCTGAGTTTAAGCCACTGGTCCGGGACTCGAACCGTGGTCCACTACATGGGAGTCCAGTGACATAGCCATTACGCTAACTGCTGTTCCCTATTTGTAATGTTTTTGATTCCAGAGCATATCAGGGACTCTGAGGAGAATTTCAGCCAGCATCACTCAAAATCTATTGTACCAGAGGCAGGTTGCTTGTTATCTTAATCAACTCTGCATTCCACATTTCCTTGGCAGAGTTGATAATGGCCATCCTGAATGCTGGTTGAATGCCAAGTAGGACCAGTGGCTTGACTTCTCCCTATTCTGACATTTTTCATGGTGTCTGGTCTCCCATCATAGACTCCCAGTAGATGATTACGTTAGACTCCCAGTCCAGTGGTTATTTTCATGAACATGGCTTGGCTTAACTGGCTGAACAAAATTTTTCCTTGACTCATGCCTTTTCCTGTGCTGCTCAGAATTCATTCTCTGTCAGGGCACCCAAAGATTATCTTTATGAATCAGACCAATATATTTAAAAACTCAAAATAAAAATTACCAAAGAGTCAAATAATTTTACCAGGACATGAAGAGTTGTTTAATGAATTTGCTGGAAAACCAAATAAAGTAACTATGTCTATGTCTCTCTGTCTCTCTATGGTCAAATTGATGATAATAATGATACATAAAATTAAATAAATAATTAAAATCCTACCAAGTGGCACACAACTGTCATTTTATAGTTAACTCATTTTATTCTCTGGTCAGGAGGAGCACAGAAACCATGGCCTTGGTTTATTTAATGGATCTTGATTGCCCATCCTCTGCACCAGGCACTGTACTGGTGCTAGAATAAAGCAGTCAATACAATTACATAAGGTTCTGCCTTAAAGAGCAGACTATCTTAAGGAAAAGACAAATAAGATAAAATGATCATACAAATAAATGTAAAGTGAAATTGTAACAAGTTCTCTGAAGAAGAGATGCATGATGGTATGAGAATCTATGACAGGTCATCCAATCTGACCAAGAAGGTCTCCTCTCTCTCTTACTCAAACCTTATAACCTTGTGCCTGGCACACAGTCTGGCCTGAATAAGGAACTCTACTCAGAGACAATGGCAATGTGACACCTCGTTGCCTCAACCTCTTCCTAGTCTTGGCCCCAGTACTATGACACAGGTAGCTCCATTGTCCCTTTTGCCTACATTTGCAGTGCAGTGGGCAAAGGGCATTACCAACTGAAGAAGTGACTTCTTCCGAAGCAGAAGTTATGTCTGTACCTGAAACATAAATAAAAATGTTAGTCAATTATCAGAAAGTTTTAATTCATTTTTTGGTTATACACAGGTCTCATTTTACTATGGCAATACCATAGTAAAATGTTGGAGAAGTTCAAGTATGAGGATTAGTGATTTTTTTACTTCTCAAAAAAAAGTTTAAGTACTCAAATGAAAAACATATGCAGTGTTTTAAACCTTTCCTGAAATGAAACATGCTTCCCTGTTCCTTTAAACAAAAACTTTTGATTATATCTTAACCTGCATGCTTCAAACTCATTAGGAAGAATAATCATAATTATTCAGGGCTATAATACAGATGTGACTCAAATGGCATTGCAGTAAACAGGCATTTTTGCTCCATGTCACCACATTGAGAAAGCCTGGTAACACTGAATGGTTTTTTTGAATACTTCTCTGGCTATCAGAGCATCTGATAGCATTTTCTACCATTGTCAGTGTGCCTACTCTATCATGTCTCGTCTCCTCTTCCGGTACCCACTCCCCAGCCCCAGCTGGTCATCTCTGTAATGTACAGTCAGTAAACAGACTAGATAGACCATTGATATGAGTGTGTAGAAAGTAAGAACAACAGGGTCTGTGGAATAACTCTGTGTGTATACAACGTTTTCCTTGAGATTGAACATTGGGATCTTTAAGTGACTACCTAGAAGCCCTCTTTGTCTATTTCTAGGTTCCAGTCTATTTTTTAAAAAAATTAATTCAACCAAGTGACCCCTGGGCAAATATGGGCATAATTGTACTGTGGAGGTAGAATTTCAACACAGTGCCATCCCTAGGATGGGTAATAAGAGGACAAATCAGCAGAAGACTTATTACCTGTTATACGAAGCAACTCTGTGGTTGGAATTGAAGCAGGAACTGTCAAAACAAGCAAAAGTTAAAGAAAATTGTAATTAAATAGCATCTTTGTCAATTGAGTTCATTGGTAAATAATTTTTAAAAACTTAATCTGTTTACAAATTATGCCCTGCCTGTGTTTATATTCAATTATGTTTTGTTTCTTTTTGATTCACCTATTCTCTGTTGCCTTAAGCTGAGAGAGATAAATAATGAGGGAGGTGGGTACTTGGGGCTTGGACCCGAGAGAGCTGAGTTCTAGTCTTGTCTATGTGTAATGGCAACTTTAACTCCAGGTAAGTCCTTTTGCATCTCTCCCATCAGCTGCTGCATATAAAGGGCTACTCCATAGACCAGTAGTATCTGTACCACTTGTTAGACATGTAGATTTTCAGGAGCAACTAACTAGAATCTGCATTTTAATAATATTTCCAGGTGAGTTAGGGGCACATTAAAGTTTGAGAAGCACAGAGCATGTAAATAGAGATGTCTACAGGCTGAGACATGCATGCATGGGCCAGGAAAAGAATAGGGAACATGTGCCCATGTTAAAAGGGAATAGCCCCTTTCTGTTCAGCCCCTGCCAATTGATGACATTCACCCTCATGAAATTCATGCAACTCTTGATTATTCTCAGATTTTTCAGTTGAAGCTGAAAATATGGATACTTATGTGGGGCCTTCAAAAGTTCATAGATGAAAAAACTATGTGCAGATTTAAATTTATTTTGCACCAAAACCAAACTTATATTTTAATCCTGTTTTTCCATGAATTTCTTGAAGTCCCTCATATATGAAATCTACCCCCCTCCCCTTTTTTTAAAGTGAGGTTAAAAACAATTTAACATGCACAGTCAAAACTGAATCCAAACTCATTGGTGGGTCAGAAACTGACCTATGGACTGTCCAGTTATGACTACTAGTTTGAAAAACCTCTAAGGTTTCTTGCAATTCTTGCAAACGTGTTATATTGTGATGGTGCCATAACTAATTTGTCCTTGCCTAAAAGACCTGATAGGCAATTCCCTTAGATCCAACCACAAAAAGGGAAATCGGTTTTGTCATATGCTTTTGCTTAGAGATTAGCTTCTAACAAGTCTGCAGAGCGCTTTGAGATTGTGGAATGTGGACTGTGGGCTTCTTTTAGAATTGTTCTCTTTTTTTTGGAGAGGATTTTGCTATAGGGCACGTGCGCTCGCCAGACAGAGAGAGACAGAGAGACAGAAAGCGAGAAATCACCCCCCAGAGTGCATAGTCACGCCGCAATCCCTTCTCCTCCATTCTCCTCTCGGGATCTTGGGCACGCACGCACACGTGCCCAGCGTGAGTTCTAAGCCACTGGGTCTGGGACGCGAACCGCGGTCAACTATGTGGGAGTCCAGCAACATAGACATTACGCTAACTGCTGGTTCCCCTTTTATAATTGTTTATAGTTCTGAAAAAGCTTAAGTTGAGCTGAGTTGACTTGAGATGACATTTCTCCAATTTATTTAGCCACAAAAATGATCAACTCAAGCTCAAGAATGATCCCTCAAGTGTCTAGAAGACAGAATTTTACAAAAGGACACATGGGTTGCTTATATTAGAGAGCCATGTCTGGTCTCAGCAGATGGCAGCACACACATCCCGAGAAATGTGACTGCAAAGTTCTCATCATTGAGTCCTCATACAAGTGTGTTCCACTTAGTCCCTAAGACAAGCTTCCAAGGTGACCATTTTCATCCTCATGTTCTACAGAAGAAACAGAGGCTCTGAGAGGTAAGGGAACTTGACCACTGTCACCCATTGGTTAAGGCTGGAACCAGAACATAATTGTAGGTTCTCTGGCTCCAAATCTCATGATACTGCATTACCACTCAAAAGGTTCAGTGGTCAAAGAAGTTTGAGAAGTATTGGGTTAAATCAAGTTACCAAAAAAAAATCCCTTATTACAGAACTTGTCAGAGACTTTGATGTACCAATAGGCTCTGAATCTTTAAAAGAGAGGTATGGTATTATCCCAATTTATCTAGGCATGAAAATCCTTCTTTAAAATTTGCATATCACAGGGAACCAGCAGTTAGCATAATGGCTATGTCGCTGGATTCCCACGTAGTCGACCGTGGTTCGCGTCCTGGACCCGGTGGCTTAAATCTCACGCAGGGCGCGTGTGCGTGCGTGCCCAAGATCCCGAGAGGAGAATGGAGGAGAAGGGATTGCGGTGTGGCCATCCCCCCTGGGGGGTGATTTCTCGCTTTCTGTCTCTATGTCTCTCTCTGTCTGTCTGGCGAGCGCACGCGCCCTATAGCAAAAACCTCCCCCCCCCCCAAAAAAAATTGCATATCACTAGATTAGTGTACATTACTGTGAAACACAGTTGGGAGATATAGTAGCCTATATATATTTTTAAAAATGCAGATTATGTGCTAGCCCCATGGTCTATTGGTCAAAAGAGCCAGATTCCATGGGGCTGACCAAGCAGTTCAAGTCTTGGCCCTTGTGACTTGAAAAACATGCCAGACATCTGTGTGCATGCCCCAAATCCCAACAGCACGGAAAAATGTAGGAGAAGGGATTGTGGCATGACTATACTCCACTGGGGGGAGGGTGCTTTCTTTCTCTCTCTCTCCATCTCTCCTTGATGGGTTTGCATGCCCTGTGGCAATACAGAAAAAAACAATACAGGTTAGAGAAGTAATTTTGCCTGAAATGTTTGAAGTCCTGTATGGCTTATTTAAAAATGAAACAAACCCCAAACTCACTAAACACCCAAATGTGTGAATACTGGTAAGAATCTAAGTGAAGTCATGTCACTAAGAGTTGATTTCAGAGACTAGCTGTTGCACTGGCAAAGGAGGAAACAAATGGGACATATTACATTCACGTATGGAAAGCACACAATCAATATCTGTTCAATTTTTTTCATTCAATGTATATATAAGCACCTTAATATGTTTTCAAAGGCCTTGATATTTAGTTTCTGATAAAATATAAACTCTAGCCCTAACCATAGGCAAAGCAATTTATACATATCTGATTTAAAAAAATGGGAAAAAGAAAATAAAATTACCAGGTGAAGTGGTCATCTCTATGGCTGATGCTGAAATTGTAAAATACATAGGAACTTAGATGATAATTTTTTATTTAAAAAATGAAACCTCAGCTACATTAAAGTTAGATACAAAACAACTTCTGAAAGGTGAAGTTAAAGATTATAGAAGTTTCTTAGTTGAGACTGAAACAGAGAAAGAGATGCATAAAGGTAGGAAGTGAGAAAAGTTCGTTGGTTATGGGAACGATAGAATCTCCCAGGATGGATCCCCAAGGTTGTTTCACTGATGCAATGAAGAAATATTTTCTGGAGTGGCAAAGTACTAGGAACTTTTCCAATTCTCACTTTAGGTCTCTAGCATTGATTTCTCATTTCACCAGACTAGTTTTATAACACAACATGACATTGTCTTGGTCTAAAAGGAAAATGTTTCCTTAATGTAACAGAGCACATTATAACCCTTGGTTTAGTGGTCATTTATTTTTCATTAATAACATATCATAACTGAAATGCACAAATGATTCTGCCCATCTGCTGGGATGTAAGCTGCCCGAGCGCAGGTTGTTGTCTGTTGTGTTCAGCACTGCATCTCAGCACCTATAATTGTGCCTGGCACGTGTAACGTGCTCAATAAATATCTGGCAAATTAATAGATGAATGTATTAAATCCTTTTATTCTAGTCTTTGCCTATACAATTAAGCTGGCAGTGAATATTTCCATTTCTTCTGATTTCTTTCGCTATTCTACATTTTTGGCAAAAGAAAGAAGAAAGCAGATAATGCACAAACTGGGCTTTAAAAAAAAGGAAATCTATTTCAAACCACAGAGGCCAAAAGGAAGTAGCGATGAAGCTTTCACAAAAGATATGAGTGAGAGGAACTGGGATTTGGTAATGGAATCCCCAGAGTAGCACTACAAAGTAGGCATTAAAACTCAAAATAGACAATTTTAGGACAAAGATTAGGAAGTGAAGTTACCCCAAGGCACAGTTAACAGAGGGAATCTGGTTACTTGGAGACTACAGAGACTGAGGGCCTTAAGGTGAACTTACAGATGTTGGGGCAAGGTGGGCAGATCAGCAAATGAAGGGAGGCTAAGAGTGACTGAGAGGCTCCCCAGAACCACAGTTAGGGCAGGCTACAGGGCTGAGGGATGTGGGGCTGACCCAAGCTGTATTACACATCATTATGTATCTTCTGCCTGAGTGCAGCATGGAATGTAGAGGATGGGCCTTGGGCAGGTGTTTGGAGGACCCCAGAGGGACCCAGACTTCCCCACATGGATTCCATGTCCCCCACCAGGGCTCTGGGAGCCTCAGGAGAGAGCCAAGAGCGTGTACCTGAGCAGATAACTCCAGCATCTTCGTGGTGGCCGCAGTTGTGAACGGACAGGCCCAGATGGTGGCACTGCCCTAGCGTGGTCTCGTTGCCTTGGCACTGCACGTCGTCCAGGAAGATGCTCCCCACACCCTCCCCGAAGTAACCATTTCCTGGGGCACTGATGCCAGTTCCACAGCCCAGCTGCTGGCATACGACATGGGCGGCGTTGATGCTCCAGAGGTCATCACACACGGTTCCCCACCTGCCATCATGGTAGACCTCAATGCGTCCTTCGCACTGGCTCCTCCCATCCACCAACCTGATGACAGGCAAGTCTGGAAGACCCAGAGGTTATTACTGGAATATGGCAGGCAATTTCGAATGAGACTTTTCTTTAGTCTGTAACAGAGTACATGCAATTCCAGAACCCTAGAACCTCTTGCTTTCTGCTTCTAGGCCCTATAGGACTAAGTCAAATTAGTGCTTATTGGATCCTCTTGGGTTGCTTCCTCTTTGTCTTTATTACTCATAGCAGAAGTAAATAATAAACTTCAAAAAATGATCAGAAATCTGATATTTCTGATTTCCAATATTTTGTTCCATCATTCCCATCTGTGGCATGAAAATACGATTACAAGGATAAGGGTGTGTGTTTTTGAGTCAAGTCATCACACTGACAGGCAACAGCAGTAGATACGCCAAACTCCATTTTCATTATTTCTTCTAGGTGAAACTTGCCCATTGGCTCAGGTGAAAGTTAAAACTACTCTTAAGAACCAGAGACTAGACAAGCTGTAGCCAGCTCTGCGTGTAACCTCTCTGTATTAACTGCATTTTCTCAGTCCTAGTCAGATATTACTGGCTGTACTATTAGGGAATACCATAGACACATTCAACAACCGGGAAGTTTCAAAAGAAAAAGTAGAAAGATTACCAACTGTGAGAGCTGTTTCTGCTGATTCTGGGGCAACTTCACCAGCTACAAAAGAACACCCAAAGCATTCGTGTTACTGGAGGGGAACATTTGTAAAACTTCTCATGGAGCACAATTGAGTGGTCAGGGAAATCCTCATCTGGGCTAGTACAGTGGTTCAGACATTCTGGAAAATGCAGTACTGTCACAGGCAGATCAGCATTTCAAGAGATTAAGCCAGACTCGACAGTGTCTCTGAATCACCTTTCCCTCGCCTGTGAGGAGACCCTGACTTCTTAACACTAACTGGAAGTATCTACTTGAATTTTACTAGGGAGGTATCATCAAGGACCACTCAAGAGATGCGAGGCTACCCAAAGGATGATGACCATTTGATGTCATTTTCATTCAGAGTTTTTATCCTGAAATAGTATGACTTGTCTGAAACACCAAACATTAAATCATCATGTTAAAAAACAAAATAAAACTACAGGACTGGTTCTGTTATCCGGTGGTTCAGGAAACCAGAGTCCACATGTCAACTGCAGTTTAAATCCTGGCCCTGGTGACTTGAAAAAACATGCCGGGCACATGTGTGTGCATGCCCCAAATCCTAACGGATGGAGAAATAGAAGAGAAGGAATTGGGGCATGATCATCCCATCCAGGGGTGCTTTGGCTTTTTCCCTCTCCCCTTTTTCTGTCTCTGCCCTTGGGCAAAAACAGGCAAACAAAAACCCCAAAAAACCCACCAACGACTGAATTACTGAATAATTAGAGTGGAATAGAAATATGCTCTCCCTTTCTTTATCTTCACACTATCTCAGAACCTGGTCTCGACTGGGCCCTCTGAGGAGGTGGGGGTGGTTCTCTGCTGTGAGAAGACACTACAATGGTGCAGGGAGTCACAGATACTTGCTTACACAATTGTTTAGTAACAAGAGGTAACAAAACAGGGATTTAACATTCTCATTCAGCTTTTTTTAATAACTGCATAAAATTATTCCTAGTGGCAAGAAAGTCCCATTTCTGTAATCAGCAAATCAGGAGAGTGGTTGTATATAATTCTCTCTGAGAAATATCTTCAAGAGAAATTTATGAACTTGCCACACACAGAAAACTCATTCCTCTAATTAAAACCATCTCAGAGCAGGGGAACAACTTCCTGTTTCCCAGGTATGTTTTTGCTTAAACTAAATACATCTCCTCTTCTTTTTTTTTTTGGAGAGGTTTTTGCTATAGGGCATGTGCGGTCACCAGACAGACAAAGAGAAACAGAGAGACAGAAAGTGAGAAATCACCCCCCCCC